GGTTACTAACCGTTCTTTTCTTTTTTTTTATAGTTTCGGTGGGTTTCCAAAAGATCAAGATTCGTAAGTATATACGAATACATGAATTATGTGATTGTGGAATTGTAGATTAGTAATACTTATTTGTAATATGCATTTATAAATAAAGTTGTGATTTATTGCAAATATTAAATAAAATGAGTTGTGGCTGAATATTAGTAAATAAATTTAGTACAAATTTGCAACATAAATTAAGTAATATTCGGAAAACTATTTATCAAAATTTGCTATCTAAAATTGTTCCAAATGTTAACTGAATTTTGGCCGAAATTTCAAGCCGAACTTTAGGCGAGTGGCAGCGAACTGCAGCCAAAAAATCAGCTAAAGTTCGACCAGCATTAGACCATAAATTAGCCTAAAATCGGCTGGTTGAATTTTGGCTGATTTGGACTATTTTGACCAGTGTGGTGAGGGGGAAGGTCGAGAGAGAGGGAAGTGGGGAGAGAGGGGGAAGGAGAAACGTGACGGGAAAATGGTGAGAAGAAGGGAAGAGCGAAATAAACTAAATTAGTTTTTTTTTAAACTCTAAAAAAAAACTGCGGCTGCGGCTGCGGCTGCAATAGTTTATTTTTAGCATTTTTAGGTTAGTTAAAAAATGAACTGCAGCTGTGCAGTTTAATCAAAGTTCATGTCATGTGATACACGTGACATGTATTTTATATAAATAGGGGCATTTTCCCCGAAAAAAATTTTTTTTTTTATAATTTTTTTTAATTTAATTACGATAGATGTATATATATACTTATATATATACACATATATATATCTATCTAACAACTTTACGAAAAGCCCCTCCTCTGTAAACAGGTAGAGGCCATAAAGTACCTATAGGGGGAGAGCCATTGCTGCTCCCTCCACCTGTTTATAGTGACAAAAAGAGGGTCTTCAGTAGTAAGGTTTAGTACTAAATTAAACATCACAACACATCGTGTTGATACATTGTTTGTATTAACAATGTATTTAATGTTAAATAATGCATTTAGAATATTATAAATTTAATAATGTCCGTAATTTACAAATAAATAAAAATAAAAATTAACAATTTTAATGTAATTACGTGTAATGCTACATTATCCAGTGTAATTGTAGTATTTTTTTGTGTTTTTTAGCGCAATTCCGCATTTTTTAGTGCAATTCCGCATTTTCTAGCATAATGTTACATTTTCCAGTATAACACAAAATTTTCTAAAAAATATAATAATTGTGGTACTTTTAGTGTAATGCTACATTGTCTAGTGTAATTGTGGTATTTTTTAGTGCAATGCCGCATAATTTAGTATAATGCTACATTTTTTAGTATAATTTAATGTAATGTGGAATTTTCCAAAAAATGTGATAATTGTGATGCTTTTTAGTGTAATTTGGTGAAATGCTACATTTTCCAGTGTAATGCTATATTATTGAGCATTTTCCAAAAAAAAAATTGTAATATTTTAACATTCTGACGAAAATGAAATATTTGACCAAAAAAACGTAAAATTTACTGAAAATATGCAACATTTGACAAAAAAATATAGAATTTTCATAAAAAATGCACCATTTGCCAGAAAATTGGAATATTTGACAAAATTTGATTTTAATTGACAATGTTATAACAATTTTATGAAATGTTGTTACAATGACATCACATTGGAGATAAAATGCAGCATTTTTCATAAAAATGTACCATTTGCAAGAAAATTAGAACATTTGACAAAAAAAAAAGCAAAATTTGATTTTAATTGACAATGTTATAACAATTTTATGAAATGTTATTACATTTGAAGTAAAATGTGGAATTTTCATAAAAATGCACCATTTGCAAGAAAATTGGAACATTTGACAAAAAAAAAGCAAAATTTGATTTCAATGACAATGTTATAACAATGTTACAAAATGTTACGCAATGTTACATTTGAGATATAATGTAGCATTTTCCCAAATTTTCATAAAATTTGCTAAATTGGACAATGTTGTAACAATGCTATTCCAAAAAATTGCTCAGCGTAATGCAGCATTTTCCACAATTTCCCACCATTTTCCAGGAAAATATGGAATTTGCATTTTTTGAATTTTGGACAATGGTGCCCTTTCGACCTGTGTTTCTTAATATGTCTAATTCCAGTTTTCAGAAAAATTGAATACAGTCTTCATTTTATAATTTTAGATGCGATGATGATTACACAAAAAATGCACAGTATTTTTGTTGGCATATTTATTTCAGCATTTGACTAAATGGTTATCATATGATTAATGAATATCTTTTTAGAATTTGAAGTTATTACTTATTAGGTTTGTTGCGTGTGACAGTTGTCTTTCTGAAGATATTTCGTTTCATTTACTATTTCTCTTACCTACGCTTTTAGCACCCTTCAGGTAAATTTCAAAGATGTGCTCTTCGAGCAGTCTCTGACTGAAATAATGTACCCATCTTGTTAAAGAAGAGAGTACAAATTTCTGACGTCTGTACCAACGACAATAAAAGACTTTGGAAAATAGAATCGCTCTATATGTTTTCGATGGTAATGTAATTCCTGAATTTAAAGCTGCAATGAAAAAGACTCCTAGTGTATTGCAATATAATTGGTAGAAGAACAAACCAGAATTATGTTGAAATAGTTAATCGGATAAATATTGGCCCAAAGTTTGTAGGCAAAGCAATGAACAGGTAATTTTGTTTCTGCTCTACTTAACTTGGCAAAGGAGTCATTTACTATTCATACTCGTCTATTTATATTATGGAGAAAATATTGTGTCAAGATATTTCTAAACACATTAACACTACTTCTGTATAATGCCTAATGACGAACAGTATTACAGTTATAACGTTTAATATCTCTGATAGAATTTTTTGGAAATGAAGTATTGGAAAGCAAAGTAAGTAAATTTTATATAGTTTCTCAATTACGTTAGTAGATTACTTAGATCTTTGTTAACCGGATAATTGATAATCCTAAAAGGATGTCAGTTTTTCCATCTCATGAGGCACAATTATTGACAGAATATTAACATAATAGGTTGGTAGTGGGGAAAATAAAAATTAGAAGTTACTCCGATAATAGAAACTAAATATAAATACGTTGTTTTATTGACCATGGGTAACATTTATAGGATAATGAAGGAAATTACCCTTACTTGTCACCTTTTTAGAGACATTGAGGCAAACTCGGAAAAAATTGAGATAAAAGTTCTTACCAGTGATATCAGTATCAAACTTCAAGATGAAATTATGCGACATCTCAAAGAAAAAAAAGGCAACTCTTTTACTGATATTAATGATGATGACTTGAAACTTTAGAAAGTTCATATTTCCAATGATAACGAAGAGAAATTCTCAAAACTCGTTCTAAAAAATGATGAAAAAGAAGACATTAAGCTTATTAGGGGGATAATTAGTGATTATTGGGAAGAACAGCCTTCTAATGAATATACTCATATTATCATTGATTCGCCATATTTGATTACTTTAAGAAAACTTAAAGCTTTAACGACTGAAGAAAATATTCACATAATAGTCAAAGCCCCTAGTACGTTCTCTAAACTCTGAAATAGAATTATAGTGGCTTTTTTTAACAACGATTTCATTATTATATCAAACAGATGACTTATCTCATTAGTCGCAGTAATTGAAAGCAATTTTAGGTTTTTGACAAGTACAGAAATTTTTTGTTACTGTGATTAACAAATGGTAATACAAATTACCTGATTAATATCTAGAACATTTGCTCAAAATGTCTTATGATCAGTGTAACTATACTAGGAATCGATTTGTGATACAGTGTGACCCTGATTGCTTCCAAATAATAAAACGTATTTTACGAATAACTTTTGATCTAGCAGTCCAATTTTGATAATTTTTTTCTATTTTGATCAGAGAAATGAGACCTATCAATTAAAAAAAGATCATTGAAATTGGATCACTAGATCCTGAGATAATAATTTTTGGAGGTCAAATCGAGTTTGAATCGAATCTGAATCGAATTGAATTTCAGAGGAGAAATTTGATTCGTGCAGAATACTACTCTATAATAATATGTATTAGCTTCTTAAAGTAGTATGAAAATCCCAATTCTGGCTCACCTACTTATCTCATAATCTAAATCGCTTATTAATATTTTTACCTACTTATATGCTACATATTTTATAACCTAAATCACCTTTTTTATATTTTTACCTATTTATATCATACTTATCTCATAATCTAATTCATTTATATCCTACTTATTTCATAATCTAAATCACCTATTTATATTTTCACCTACTTACCCCCAACCGAACAAGAAATAGGATTTCAAAGCCAACAGAGCCAAAAAAGGTAAGGAAATATTAACCCATCCAGGAAACCAGCCATGGAGTCAATAGAGCAGAATAGCAAGGCAAGCAATTACCCTTATACCGAGAAAAAATGTAATTGATTAAAAGGTAGGTACCAAGTAACTATACAGATAAACAGTACATAACATGGTATATATCGCTGAAAAGCTGGCAACAATCTTCGGCTGCACAGTCTCTGATCTTATAGCTATCAATAGGGAGATCCTAAAAAGCCACCAAAACCCACACGCAGTATCAGTAATCCCCGAACTTGTAGGCCATATCCTGGAATGCATTCCAAGTAGCAATTTCAGACCGCATCTTCTAAAAGTCAACCCAATCTGGAGAGCTGAAGCTGAACGAGTACTCTGGAAGTAGCGCACACAAGCCGAGAAGGCATACGAACAGGTGGCAAATATATGTAAGAAAGCTGAAAAGGCTTACTGGTGAGATTGTGCAGATGGTGGTATAAATCTCGATAAACTTACTGATAAATTAACTAAAATTAGTCAAGAAAAGTATACCAGGTTCGTAGAAATGGTAGTTATAGAACAAGCTATTCTCCATTGTAATTTTATATCAGAAGAAACTAATAAGGGAAAATACATCTGAATGATGCGCAATTTCGAGTTATTTAAGGATGGGGATACTCCTGATAAGGATGTGTTCGGTGACTCAAATGACGATGACTCAAATGACGATGAATAGATTATATCTAAATAAATTTTAGAAGGCGATATTAACCCGTCTTCATCTTTTTTACCCTCATAGAATAGGCGGAGAATTAATTTTATTTTCAGAAAAAATGTAATTGAATAAAAGAGGAACCTAAAAAGTTTACAAGATGTCAACACATCAAGCAAGAAGTGCCCAACACAGACAAGTCATCTGATCAGTTCTAGCTGAATTCAAGCAGGTACCTGTCAAGTCCATCCCATATCCCCGCTCAAATGCAAAATTGCAGGAATATAAGGATGAGATTCGCCAAATCCGTGAAGCACAAGCGGTAGTAACTAATGAAGAGATAACCTGTATGATGCAAATTGACCCAGACCCACATTATGAGGTAGTCTTTAAACGTTGTGATCAGGTACGCATAGGAAAGAAGTTAACAGACTCAAACTTTATGGCCGATATTGCACCTGAAGAGCATGACTATGCTTCATTTCTCACAGCACACAGTCAAACAATCCAAAATATTCTTCGGGATGAATGAAATCGATTGGAATCAATAAAGGTAAGAATTGGAATATTTGCCACAATAAGACGTTTAGATTCTTACCTTGAAGGATTATTCGGAGATGGTAACTTTAGTGAAGATGATGTACTGGTCAAAATAGTCCAAATCGGCCAAAATTCAGCCAGCCGATTTTAGGCTGATTTATGGTCTAATGCTGGTCGAACTTTAGCAGATTTTTTGGCTGCAATTCGCTGCCACTCGCCTAAAGTTCGGCTTGAAATTTCGGCTAAAATTCAGTTAACATTCGGAACAATTTTAGATAGCAAATTTTGGTGAATAGTTTTCCGAATGTTACTTAATTTATATTGCAAATTTGTACTAAATTTATTTACTAATATTCAGCCACAACTCATTTTATTTAATATTCGCAATAAAATCACAACTTTATTTATAAATGCATATTACAAATAAGTATTGCTAATCTACAATTCCACAATCACATTATTCATGTATTCGTATATACTTACGAATCTTGATCTTTTGGAAACCCACCAAAACTATAAAAAAAAGAAAAGAACGGTTAGTAACTAAACCGTTCCATAATATCAAAAAAAAGCAAAAAACCCAAGATTCTACTTACGAATCTTTGGTTTTTTCTGTATATCAGAATCCACTCAAGACACCAAACCTATAAAAAGAAAAAAAAGAGCGGTTATTAATAACCGTTCATAATAATATTAAAAAAATAAAAAATAAACCAAGATTCGTACTCGTACTTACGAATCTTGGTTCCACTTTTTCTAAAGATCCTGAAACCTACAAAAAGAAAAGAACGGTTATTAGTAAACCGTTCGTAGTAATAAAAAATAAAAATAAAAAATAAAAAAAAAAACCAAGATTCGTACTTACTTACGAATCTTGGTTTTCCGTTGTTCTTCGGAAGCCCACTGAACTAAAAAAATAAAATAAGAACGGTTATTAGTAACCATTTGTTAATATTATAAAAAAAAAATAAAAATAAAACTAAGATTTGTACTTACGAATCTTGGTTTTCCGTTGTTCTTCGGAAGCCCACTGAACTAAAAAAATAAAATAAGAACGGTTATTAGTAACCATTTGTTAATATTATAAAAAAAAAATAAAAATAAAACTAAGATTTGTACTTACGAATCTTGGTTTTTTCCATTCTTTGGAAGACACTGACCTAAAAAAAAAGAAAAAGAACGGTTAGAAACCGTTCGTAATAATAAACAAAAATAAAAAAATAAAGATTCATACTGAATCTTTAGTTTTTTCCGTTCCTTGGAAAGACAGAAATCCACCCGAATCTATAAAAAAAAAATCAAAGGAACGGTTAGTAACTGTTTCATAACATTAAAACAAAAGATTCGTAAATATATTACTTACGAATCTTAAAGGTTCTCCTTTTTCCGTTCTTCGGAAGTCCACCCGAACCTATAAAAAAAGAAAAGAACAGTTATTAGTAACCGTTCATTAATAAAATTTAAAAAAAAAATTATAAAGTAAAGATCTTTACCTTTGGGTTTTCGTTCTTTGGAAGTCCACCCGAATCTAAAAAAAATAAAGAAAAAAATGGTTATTAGTAACCACTGGTCGAAATCAAAAAAATCGGACATATGGAAAATCAGCTAAAAATCAGACCAAAATCGACTGACATTACAAATTTGTACATCTGATTGATGCCAATCGGACAATTTAATGAAAATCCAGAAAAAAATCATTATATTTGATTGACGGCTGATTGATGCTGGTTGAAATCAAAAAAAAATCAGACAAATGGCAAATCAACCTAAAATTTGGCAAATATTCAAATATGTAC